TACATAATCATGACCCTGACCTCGCACAATACAGTAATACAGGAAGCAGAAAACTTGACCTCGCTAAGTGCGCCACTTGACCTCGTTATGTAAGCTGACCTCGCAAATGTGGCCCGTGCCACTACCTGACCTCGCTCAATACATCTTTTCTTGTAATTTGAAATCACTCAATTATTTATCATCAATTCTACAATCAATTCTTAATTAATTCAAAATCAATTCAAAATCAATTTAATACTGAAATTATTCTTGAATTTAATAATAATACTGAATTGATTATTAACTGATTTTCAATCAATTATTAATTATTTAAATATATAGATTAAATCTATTTTTATTACTATAATCAATTCAGAATCAATTTAAAATCAATTTAAAATCAATTTAAAATCAATTCAAAATCAATTTAATACTGAAATTATTCTTGAATTTAATAATAATACTGAATTGATTATTAACTGATTTTCAATCAATTATTAATTACTTAAATATATAGATTAAATTTATTTTTATTACTATAATTAATTCAGAATCAATTCAGAATCAATTTAAAATTAATTTAAAATTAATTATTACATATTTTTATCTTGATATATTTTAAAATTCTGTAAAATATCTCTTTATATTCTATATAAATTTATCTGTTTATTTAATTGATTATGAATCAGTTATACATGCTTTGATTGATTGATAAGCTGAATGAATAAGTGAATTGAAAGATTGAAAGTCAATTATCAACTGATTATTACTGTATTATGTGAGGTCAGAGTCATGATTATGTAATAAGATTAAGTGATGTACTTAGCAAGGTCAAGTTTTCTGTATACACACAGTAATAAGTGTATACAGAAAACTTGACCTTACTAAGTGTGTCACTTGATCTTATTACATAATCATGACTCTGACCTCATATAATACAGTAATAATCAGTTAATAATTGACTTTCAATCTTTCAATTTACTCAATCTTTCAATTCACTTAATTAATCAAAGTATTAGCTGATTCATAATTAATTAAATAAACAGATAAATTCATATAGAATATAAAGAGATATTTTACAGAATTTTAAAATATATTAAGATAAAAATACTTAATAATTAATTTTAAATTGATTTTAAATTGATTCTGAATTGCTTGTTAATTGATTATAATAATAAAAATAAATTCAATCTATATATTTAAGTAATTAACAATTGATTGAAAATCAATTGATAATTAATTCAGTGTAAATTATATAAATACTTACTTTATTATTAAATTCAAAAATAATTTCAGTATTAAATTAATTTTAAATTAATTTTAAATTGATTCTGAATTAATTGTTAATTAATTATAGTAATAAAAATAAATTCAATCTATATATTTAAGTAATTAATAATTGATTGAAAATCAATTGATAATCAATTCAGTGTAAATTATATAAATACTTACTTTATTATTAAATTCAAGAATAATTTCAGTATTAAATTGATTTTAAATTGATTTTAAATTGATTGTAGAATTAATGATAAATAATTGAGTGATTTCAAATTATAAGAAAAGATGTATTGAGTGAGATCAGATAGTAACACAGGTTATATTTATAAGATTAGCTTACATAACAAGATTAAGTGATACACTTAGCAAGGTCAAGTTTTCTACTTTCTACAGTAATAATCAGTTGGTAATTAACTTTCAATCTTTCAATTCACTTATTCATTCATTCACTCAGCTTATCAATTAATCAAAGCATGTATAGCTGATTTATAATCAATTAAATAAACAGACAAATTCATATAGAATATAAAGAGATATTTTACAGAATTTTAAAATATTAAGATAAAAATATTTAACAATTAGTTTTAAATTAATTTTAAATTAATTCTGACTAGACTGACTATGTAATTATATCTGAGATCAGAATTAGATTTTTTAATAGTTTTATTATTAATTTAACTAATCTCATTACATAGTTTTAAGATTAAATAGTAGTTTTATACTGTTTTAGTAAGACTTACTATCTACTCTTATTATATTTTTTAAATAAGATCATGATTTTCACTTCTCAATTCAAATTATTTTTATTGCTTTAAATAACTTTAAATATTATTTAAGTATTACTAAAAAGTGTTACTTTTTAAAAAATTAAAAATAGTCTAAAAAAACCTTAAAATGTCTAAAAATAGTAACTTTATATCAAGAATAAGACTAAATGAGATTAAATAAGATCACTTTCTCATTTTTTTCAAGTTATGATTTCATTTTAAAATCTGATATATAGTTACTTTATATGTTTTTTTAATAACTAGTTTCAGTAGAATTCATATCAAGAAATGTATAAGATTATATTAAATGAAATTAAATGTAAAATTTATAGTTTCAGTAGCTAGTCTAATTCTGACTTAATTCTAAATTGATTATTAATTGATTATTAATTAATTATAATAATAAAAATAGATTCAATCTATATATTTAAGTAATTAATAATTGATTGAAAATCAGTTAATAATTGATTCAATATAAATTATATAAATACTTACTTTATTATTAAATTCAAGAACAATTTCAGTATTAAATTAATTTTAAATTGATTTTGAACTAATTCTGAATTAATTGTTAATTAATTATAATAATAAAAATAGATTTAATTTATATATTTAAGTAATTAATAATTGATTGAAAATCAGTTGATAATGAATTCAGTATAAATTATATAAATACTTACTTTATTATTAAATTCAAAAATAATTTCAGTATTAAATTCATTTTAAATTGATTTTAAATTGATTGTAGAATTGATGATAAATAATTGAGTGATTTTAAATTATAATGTAGTGAAACTGAAGCAGTGACTAGTCAGTAGCATTACATAGAAGTAGTTATTTTAAGAAGCTGTATAAGTGAGCTTGACTATCTTGCTTAAATAGTGAGCTTGTAGACTACAGAGTTATTGCAAGAATATCACAGATATAATACTTAGTATACTAAGAAGATTGTATAAGATATATAGTAACTCTTATATATATTTTAGTAGAAGAAAAACAAATCACTGACTTCTTTGATAAGAAGTCAGCATCTAGTTATTCTATATAGATAATGAGCAGATACTCTTCTCTTATTTCATAAGTAAGAATAGCTGAAGTGATATCTCAGTAGTATCTTATTATTAAGAAAGAGTAATCTGCTGATCTTATATAGAAGTGAGATTCTTATATTTATCAATTGAATCTTTCTATGATATATCTGAATAATGTTATAGAGTAGTTGAAAATCAGTTCAGATAGAATGAAATCATCTGTATAAAAGCAATAAGCTGTGTAAAACTGCAACAGAGTCTTAATATAGCTGAGAGTGTAATAATACTCTTCTCTTTAAGAGTATAGTCTTGATACTCTCAAGATTACTGAATTAGAAATTATCTTTGTTATATAGTAATAATTATCAATCAATTGATAGTGTATATACTATATAAAGAAATAAATGAGTTATTCTACTAACTGTGTAGATCTTTCTTTTCTCATCTTCATTCAAATTAAATATGTGATAAGTGAGTTTCTTATATATTAATTTGAAATGTGAAAATGTAATTAATAAGTGACTTACAGATCTTTTAATATATTTTATTCTATATATGAAATTCTCTGTAAAAGTGATATGTTTTAGAGACAAAACTAACAGTAGTAGCAGGATTTTTTTGAAAAGATTTTCTCTCTCTGTGATATATTTTTCTTCTCTTCTCTCTTATCTATAATAGTGAGTGTATGAGAGTATCATTCTTGAAGAATAGTAGAGAGCTTATTCTGACATTTTCTAGTGAGTAAATATCTTCATAATGTGACAGCAGTCTTTATAGCTGTCAAGAAAGCCAGGTTGAAGACAGAGACAGTGATATCAATGAGCTGCAGAAGTACTGCTTTTCATTATCACATCTTCTTCTTCTTCTACTTTCTTTTGCAGCTGCAGTAGTAGTTACTATATTTTGTAGTGAGATGTTATCTCTTCTACTAATTGATTTATCTATATTCAGTTTATTTCTTACTCTTCTTATCACTGTTGTAATACTGTCTCTCTTTTCAGCTAATACAGTAGTATATGACTCTGTGTGATCATTCAGAGAGAAATCTGAAAAGAGCTTGATTTCAGAGACAGTGACTCTGAGAAGCTTAATCTATAGTTTCTCTCTCACAGCATGTCTGAGTTCTGCTCAGAATACTACTAAGTTAAGTTTACAGAGTTCTGTAGTTTCTTTGTCTTCTCTCTGTAAGAAGGCTTTAGTGCAGTCTCTGATCAGTATTATTACTTATCTACACTATGCTAAGTAGCTGAAAGAGAGAGAAATTTTATATATCTGTCTCTTCTCTTACTCTTATTATTTTCATTATATCTGTAATAATGACTTCTATCTCTCTGTAAGTATTATCTCATAGAAAGATATTATATCAGCTCTAATAAGAAGTCTAAATACTTAAGTAGTACAGAGTGAGAGTCTCAGAGCTTTAAGTGTTAATAAATTCTATTAAGACTGAGAAGATCTCTCTTACTTATCTATAAAAGAAGATGAAAGTGTGAATTTTTAAGATAAAAAAACATCTCAGAATAATTAATCTTAAGAAGAGATTAGTCAGTACTGCTGTTAAAAGTACTGTAGAGATCAATTACTGATTAAAGAGAATCTCACTTCAATTAAAGTAGATGACTGAGATACTTTGTAAGTTAATAAGTTAATATTTTTATACATTTCTTATACTCTTCTATGATACTGTAGTACTAACTTCTCAGCAGATAAAGATGCTGATACTGAAGACTTCAACAATAAAAAATAAGTTTGATAAGAGTGTGATTATTAATAAGTAGACTCTGATTTCTCTTTTTACTTTTTCAGTGAGCTGCAGCTCTATTAGAATAGTAGTAACTCATAGAT